AAAAGTGAAATCTAGAAGAAAGAAGTCGGGATTTAATTATTTCTTGGGTGAGAAGATCCACAGCCTTGAGAACAATGTAGGCAAGACCTCATCCTTAAAGTTTAATATTTACTGGAAATCCAAAAATCAGAACTAGTGCCAAAATACCACATTGTTCCCTGGCCCTACCGCCTTCATTAAAGTAATTAATTTTGGCAGTAATCTGTGTAAGCGCCCTGCAGTTTAATTCCTCCTCCGCACCAGCTAATGTTTCCGTGTATCATCCAGTGGAAGCTCCCAGTATCACGCAAACTTAAAGTTCACTCATCTGCAGACGTGCCCTACAGCAAAGTATGCTAATTTACGGAGTGTAATTTGTAAAGTAATAACTCTTCTCTGACCCTTCGTCCCCTGTGTGATTAGCTCTGGTTAGCGCAGTGTCCGGGGATCTGAGCGGTGGCCTGAATGCCTCGCCTCCTCAAACACCCGTGAAGTTACAGCTGATCCAAAACAGTCCCAATCCTGAAATGATTGCAAGGCCGGACTTTTTAATCAGTCAATTCTTTCAGGAATCTAACAATTAGGCCCAGCAGTTTCTCTCATACTTGTGTCCAAGGGCAGGAGCAAGCAAAAGACAAAGTCCTGGCTCTAATGAACGGGGGCTCCTTGGAGCATCCTTCACAGCAAGGTAACTAATTACTTCAGCATGCGACCGGAGTCATATTTCCTCATCAAATGGGAAATGATTTTCAGAACGTCTGTGTTCTTGGATTTCATTCCGTGTGGTTTCACCCTCTGTCGGTGCAGCGGAGTTTCTGGCGGACTAAATGGCCAAGGTGAAGTCTGGAGTCTGTCAAGTCGTGGGCCGCGCCAAGCGAGAATCTCCACTTGTCCGTCTCCTGCTCCGAGATAACCGTGCACTTCCACGACTTCTTTCAAATCTTTCAGCAGCACACAGAGGAGGCACGGATGAAAAAAAATAAAAAAGTGAATGGAGAAGCTATAGGCAGCGTGGAATATCACTTAGGTTTTCAATGGAAAATGTGGCTCAGAGGATCTGGGGTTCGGCCAGCGCAGTGCAGCGAGGGATGAGAGGTCAAAAAACCTGATAGGATTGTTTCGGGGAGTGTGAGTGTGAGCCATCTCACGGTGCAGAAGTCCAGAGGCAGCTGATGGACAGGAAAACCACCAGTGTCCTGATTGTTTCTCGCTGATAATGGAACCACAGCACGCAGGGTCCTCCAACATGGACCGGCTTGTAGCATTCGCTGCGACAAAGGAAGACCTGCTGTCAACACCTTTTTTCCAACCAAATCTCTTCTTGCAGGCTTGCCGTCTCTTTTGGTAACTTTCTCTCCTGGCGTGAGAGAGTTCTCGGCCTCGGCTCTGTGGCAGAGCTCAGGTTCAGGACTAGCAGTGGCATGGTAGAGCCATTAATACACAGGAAGGAGAAGGGAGACCAGGCCCCGAGCAGAAGGACACACCTAGGAAGTGTGAGACATAAATTCAGTCTTTCCTTGGCCTCCTCGAGATGCCAGACACTACACAAAGGCTCGGTTGTCTATTCACGCTATCATGCAGGATCCACAATACCACAAGTGTTCAAATTATATGTACAGAGAGCCCTAGGTACCCACGTCACAGCAATGGATATAGAAAACACAAACGTTATGAAATCTTTATTTAAAGTCATTTATCTCCTGCTGCTGCCCTCTTGAACTCCTGAGAGACAGATTTCAATCTGATCCCGGGTCAAACAAATAAAGTTAAATACCCAACATCCTTGTGAAGGTAGCAAAAATACACAGGAGATAGTGAAGGCTGGGGCCCAGACCACTAATGTGTGGTATGTGGTTGAGGCAGCTCGCTGCTGTATACATTCAGCTCTTCCACTGGTTTGTCATGATTAGTTTGTTTAGCTCTTTAAAACCGCCTCGCCTTTTGTGCCGTAAACAAACATCTCCCATATTGTGATCAGCGTTGAGTGGTGGCTCATGGTTAGAAGCAAGACTCGAGTTTGGTGACATCAACAAAAGAAAAGTGCAGTTGGTTGAAGTCGGTATTTAGAGACCAGAATTTGTGTTTGTTTTTTGTTTTCTCCTCAAAGAAAACAAGGACATAAAAGTGACACTCGGGCATATAATTTATGGTGTTTTTCTTTAAAGCTGCATTACTCAATATATATTATTAATAAAACTAAATAACATATGAAAGTGGTGCCTCTTACTGACAAACCTACAGATAATTATCACAAAACTCTTCACTTCTGAAGATTCTTGTAGCAACATTTAGCAAAATGTGTCGATGTACAGCTCATAAATGTACTGTTTGGTTTTAGTCTCATTACTCTAATTAACCTTCTTTCCAGAAAAACAGAAATACAACTCCCAATAAACTAGAATGTTGTCGGCAGTTTAAAAAAAAAAAACAAGAAGGATGAGTTTGAAGTTGCTTAAAACATCAATTAGTGTAACTTTAACAAGAACAAATAACAACAAGAAGATACCATTAATTTCATTCAGAGGTTTATTCATTGCTTTGACCAAGTAACAACTGTTTTTATAAAAGAAATTTTACATGAGAGCAAATCGGACAATACAAGGAGATATGCATTTGGTCATTGGATTGGAAATCCAGTCTCTATCAAAATGAACAAAAAAAAAAAAATCTCAATTTATATAACTTAACAATAAACAAAACAAACTATGGTCACCACTTTCTTTGTTCTGACAGTCCGTAATAATAATTTATAAGCTTTAATACACACTGTTGCTTTCCATGTGTCAGCGTGGCTGTGAAAGCAGGGTTTGTGCTGGAGAAAGGCATTTACAGTACCCAAGTCTTGGCTGTAGAAACCCCTTTGTTCGTCTTCGTAGTGTCGTTGTTGGGGGAGTGATGGCAGGTCGGAACAACAAAGGCAGCTCTGTTGTCTCCCAAGCCTCCTTCCCTCGCTGTCTCTTCCCACCGAGCGGGTATCGTGTGAGGTGTGAGGGTCGCGAGCGGTCCAGAGGTTCAGAGGTGCAATTAGAAACACAAGGAGCGGCGCAGCACTACCCCGCAGCTACCCCGCCTGGATCAGGTGTATAAAAAACACATGTGGGAGCCCACAGCCCCCACTGCATAAGCAAATAGTGCCTGGGGATTGGCTAGTGCGATTCATTTCATTACACGTCCATAGGCACACTAACAGGAATAATACAGGGTTGTCCTTCATTTCTTTTTTACCTCTCCTCCTCACCCTCATGTGAAAACACCTTCATTGAAAAACTGTAAGTGCAGATTTCTTTTTAACAGTTTGCACATTCAAGACACATTAAAAAAAAAAGGTCAAAAAGTCACTTTGTGCAGCTTCACTCCCTCTCATAGTCCTTGACCATAAGCACAGTCTGGGTTGTCAAAAAAAAACAAAACAAAACTGCACAATTTATGAAGGAGTGTACATTTTGACACACATAAACAGTACCTTGAAGATATACATAAAATTAAAAAGTCGGCGCAGAGAGCCAACTTCAGTTTCTCCCATAAGTCCAACTTGATTTCCCCCGTTTGTGAACTTGGCCTCGGTCGCCACAAACGTTTATAACATATGCACCATACATTAGTACTTTCTCTCACCGAGCTTCTTTCCATTGGATGATAAAAGAAGCTCTTAATGCAGTACAGTTTAGAGAAACCGAGTTTTGATCAGGAAAAAAAAAAAAACACAACCAGACATATACAGACTGACAATAACAAATACTTTGAACACTTGCTTGGCTGACAAAGAGATAATACTGAAATGTATTTTTGAAGTCGAGGGGGAAAAAAAAAAAGAAAAAAGCGTGGGGGAGAAAGTTAAACTTTTAAGCCTTTCCTCTGGCTCCTTGTAAACAGCAATTTGAATGTAATGCTAAACAGCTGAGGGCAGAGGATCAAAAAGGCTGGAGGAGCTGGTGGTGAGGGGGGGGTTGTGTATGTGTGTGTTTTGTTCTTTCATTCACTCCGGACTATCTTGTTCTGAGCAAAAACGTGAAAAGGCAACACAGTCCACATAAAACATTGATAATGCAAAGCAAAAACATCCCTTTTAGGTCATGGCATTCTTCAGCTGAACCTTAAAGCACGCCTGTGGGTGTATTTGTGTCACTGCGTGGGCGAACGTTCGGGTCCGGCTGAGCGCTTGTGCACGTTTCAGCAACCGAAAACCGCGATAAGAGAGGAATCCTTCGCCGGTTCATAAAATCCAAGGCCGAGATGCGAAAGCCGGCCGCTTATCGATCTGCTGCTTATCTACGCATCCAGCAGTTGCTGTCGGCCTGCCAGCGACGAGAGCCCGAGACAAAGCAGAGTTCAGTTTACAGTCAAAATGAAGACTACAGTCAAAACAAGAACAATGCCTTCAGAGGACTCATGCTGGGCATTTTTCTAAGAGTATCTGTGTGGGTGTGTGCTATTTGAGTTCATCAGTGCCTCGGATGGTGAGCTCATTCAGTCCTTAAGGCACATGCTGTTGTGGGGAGTTTTCATTCACAAAACAAATCCTGAATCATGACTGCGAGTCTAAACTCCAACAACGTATTCCTTCACAAATTCCAGAGGCACCGCAGTATCTGTACTTTGCATTGACCACAGTCAGTGAGTTATTCGTCTAAAGAACAAAGGCACTTTGGCAAAATACAAAATTTGTAGCATTAAAAAAGAAGAAATAAAAAAAAACAAAACAGATTCATAAAAAATAAGTTAACATTACAAAAGTGTCTTGTCTTAAGAAATACTGCAGTGAAACTATCACTAACACTCGCACGTCAGCCCAAAAAAAAAGGAAAAGGATGGTCAAGGCCTCTCGAAAATTTTTAGACACCAATAACAAACCAAAAAGAATGAAAGTTCTCTTTTTGTTTCACACTTCCTCGCTTCAAACACCCCTGCCCCTAAACAACAGTTCTTTTCATTTCAGGGGGAGTTTATTTGGACTCTGGCGAGTTTGCTGAAACAGGAATGTTTGCCGGTTTGCATAGAGGGACGGGAGGATGACGTCAGGGCTAATATTTCTGCACCAGCGGCACTTTAACAGTCTTTATCTCTGCTATATGGGAGGACTTCTGGATGATGCAGCTGGTGGTTCCAGAGGCGCTGTCCTTCCCCTGCGCCAAGTTGGTCAAGGCCATGGCGGCGTTGATCTCCCTCCAGTATGTCTCGTCTTTGCCCTTCACCTTCTCCTTCTGCGCAGCTCCGACGCCAACGCTTCCACTGATGATCAACAGAACACGCAAACACGCGCAGGAAAGAACAAAACAGACAGCGTTAGAGGTCAGCGTCAGCTTGTAATTTCAAGGATTTGATCTGGGCAACAAGGCAAAGAGAAAGTCCACTCACTTGTCACATTTACTTGATCCATGGTCTGTGGTTTCTGAAAGCACAAGGAGAAAAAAAACATTAATTTTGTAGAGTTCTCTGAGGTCAATGAGGATTTATTGAAATCTCCCTGAACATACACGTTCAGGAGGTGTGTGTGTGCACGGTTGTGTGTGAGGTCTGTACTGTACTGTATGTGTACACCCTGTCCTGTACACATGTGTTGCTCTGTTTTCTCTCTTTACTCAGACGCTGGACAAAAAGGACGTTTTGCAAGAAGCCGTCAAGAAACAAGGTGACTAATACGATCGAGTTGAAAGATGTTTCTTATGACTCATAAACTCCATTCTCTAATATTTTGTTCGAAAACAAATGGGAGCGGGCCAACGTAATTGAGTTGTCCGAGGAAATCAGATCGAAAATGACTGAGCGTAAAAGATGTGAGCGGGAATGAAAAGGCAGCAAGTGAGTCAGTGAGAGAAAGATGGATGCCTGCTCGCTTTTTTTTTCTCTTCAAATGGGAGCAATCTCTATCTCATATGTGAAACATTAGCGGGGAATAGCAAAGTCATTAAACAATGAAACCAAACTTTTCTTGAGGGCAACCAGTGTGTTTACTTCACTGAGTGTGTGTGTTGGGGGGGAGGTTTACTGGAGTGTGTGCTGAACCTGTCTTCTGTCTCGGGTCCAGCGTTAGGTGAGTTTTTGCCCGGCAGTGAATATGATGACACAGGCTTGGCGTTTCATGAGGCATTAAAGGAGAGCAAAGCATCTGGATTTTCGAGCCACGCAGCCTCAAGGCGCTCTCTTTAAGTTAACTAAACACACAGCTAAGGACCTGTGAGCTTTTAAGAAGTTCAGTCGTGACCAGGTAGAAATGACTGGACGACTTAAGAATGTTCAAAAGAGGGTAAGTTCTGCCCTGAGAAGAGTTGGTCCTACCGAGGTCCACCTTTGCTTCCCAGATGCCACATCACAGCCACATCGCCCAGGAACCCCGGGTCTCCTGTACCCCCCACGTGACATTTCCCAATAAAGCAAATGTCTAAACCTGAGCTGCCGCTTTAACGAGGCCCTTCCTCGCATCATCATCACCGCAAAACAACAGTCGACAGGCGTTCCTCAACGTTCCCGCTTGCTAATGAAAATCTGCAAAGTTCATTATCGCTGGAATCTCATTCCCATGTTTGTAGGAATGACTGGAAAAGGTTGCGCAAGGACACTGTGTTCGGGATTTAGCTTTAGTCAACAGACAGCCGCAGAGGCTGAGAGCCAAAACTCAAACTCCTTCAACGTCAAGACAAAGCACACACACAAGATTTTACCGTTCGGATTTTTCACCTCTAACCTCGCCAAAGCCCTCCATAGATGTTCCAAATATCTGGATGCAGTGTTCAGGCTTTCAGGCTGCCATGAGCGGCTAATTATTCCCAACGCCTTGCTCCGTTCCTCCCTTGTTTTCCGAAACTGTTCCCGTGTAGCGTGACCCAAGCTGACTGAAGCGGGTTTGCGAAGCCGCGGGCTAATGTGGGCCTGATTATGAAATTTCCTGTAGTTTTCCCATTTGTTCTGTAATAGGTGTATTCCACAGAGAAGAGACAGACTTCACTCTCCACAGGTTTCTCCTGTTGATCGTTCTTAGACAGAAGGAATGTGAGCGCACGTGTGAGAGGGAGATGAGGACATGATAACCCAGAAGTACAAACCACAGGATGAGATTTTAGGTTTTAGTGCGTCAAAGCGTTCCAACAAAATCCTCACATTCTCGTCTGGCCGCAACTCCCTGCTGTCCTATCTTTGCCTCGGTCTTTATCTTGCTTTATCAGCGAGTCCTCTTTCCTTTATTGATATTCCTCGGGTCCCTCGCCTTCTCTCCTCCAACTGTTCACCTCTTACTGCAGTGATTTGCTATAATACCCCCAGATCCAGGTACTCGAGCCCGGCCATTCTCATCTATCTCAGCCAAAACAAATGCTGTGTTTCCCGTTTGTTTTAATAAAGGGCGACTCTGTGCTGTGTCAGGAAGTTTTATTTGAAAGCCCTTGATATTTTCCATCTTTTCTTCATCTCCAATTTTTTAATTATTCTTTACCTTTTCAGCCATTTTTCAAACCTAATTGTGAAAATCAAGCGGATACTTGAAGATTGCGAAGCCATTCTGTTTGTATTCTATCTCCATCTACTTTCCTGATTGTTGCCAGTGCTCCAAAAGCAGATTGGTCCTGATTAAAAATATGCATCACTCTCTGAAATTACAGCACAGTAATTGCAGGCCAATTACACTGTTTTCATGTGTTGTTTATGTTTCCCCCCCAAGATATATTAGCTCAGTGTTTACTGCTGCAATGCCCGGTGTAAGGATTGGCTGGTGACAGCAGTGAGAAGGTCAATAGCAGCGACATCAAAGACAACCAACATGCTGAAGAAAGTGTGTATTTGTGTGCTGTGAAGTCACTGCGGGCTGTGAAGTGCAGCCTGTGAGTCTTTCCATCCACAGCTTTAAGTGTTTCCAGTGAGTGCGAGGCAGCCACTGTCCAGATGCTCAGTTTAGAACATACAGAGCAGAGGTTTCAGAGGTTTCTAGTCGATGACGGCGGCGTGGACAAAAAGATGACCAAAGCCACCCTACAGCAAAGACCCTTTGTTGGGATTAGATACCCGTCCTGGCCCTTGGGAACCCCAGATCCTAGAATCTGGAAATGCGCCGCTGCATGCAAAAGCTCAATTTCCAAAGCCCTTTGCCTAAAACATCTAAAACTCAGATTTTTAAAAACAAGATCAGAGCCAAAGACTCAATAAATCGCCAATAAATCACTGAGGACCTTTTATTATTTTCTCCGTCTATTTTCTCCTTTTTTGCTTTACTACTTTGCTACTGAACACTCAGTCAACTTTGCTGTTGCCTTTGGGCTTCACTGACAGTGGGGTTTCACGCACCGCCAAAGGGGAAAGCAAAGAAGTCTGATGGTTTCTGGCGTCGTGCTGGAAGTCCAAAAATACTTGCTCACTTAACATCTCGGCAGGGTGACGGAGGGAGAGCGAAAAGAGAAAAACTCGTTTCAACGAAACGTGGTGAAAGTGAGGGAGAACAAGCGGGGACTGACAAATTAGAGAGGGAAGGAGATTCCACCTGTTCAGATGACTGTGGAGGAGACGAGTCGACTATCATCATTACCATCTGCTGCTGTTGTTAGCAACACACAACAATAAACAAGGCCGGCCCCGTTACACAAACCGTGGGCTGGGCTGAATTAGACAGACAAATAAACACACAAACACACACATACAGGCCTTTTATGACATTTCATTCTTTCGGCGGGTGGTCTCGTCCAAAGTGACTTAAAATAAGCGTCAATCCTTGGATGCGAAGGATTGCACGGTGCCAAAATATGTCGTCAGTGGCTTTTACAATATTCCACAGGAAACAACACATTAAAGAAAAAAAGAAGAAACGGATCCATAGAAAGACAGGATTTAAAGAAATAGTTTGACACTGTTGGGAAGTATGTTCTTGTTCTAAAGAAAATGATATCAATGTCAGGTCTGTGCGTCACTATGCGGCCAAAGCTGGGGGTCTGTTAGCCTAGCTTAGCATTAATCCAAGCAGCAAGCAAAAACAGATAGCCTGGCCATCCCTAAAGTTCAGATTCCACCTGACAGCTGTGCTGCATCTCACTATATAACACTAATCACTACTTAATCTTGTTTGTTTAGTCTGAGCATGATGGAGCTATTTTTTGGCGACCCTGAGCAGCGGACTCTTGGCTACGTGTCCCTCACCATAAAACATCATCTGTTACAAACATTACATCAAGAAACAATGGCTTTAATTACAGAAATGTAAAGTTTACACTGAGCCAGGCTAGCTGTGTGTGTCTCCAGTCTATATGCTAAGCTAACCGGTTCTGGCTCTATGGCTCCATCGTTGGTGCTCCTGATATTTTCATGTAATCCTCGGTCACAAAAGCATATTTTTAAATCTTAATTTGGCGTCCCTCTCCAGCCCTTTGGGTTTTCTTCCTACTGCTGTTCACAAACTTCCACACTCAGGTCACATGATGGCAACAGAGCCAACAACACTCCTACACCTCCAGAAAATGTCAGTGAGGGAATGTTGAGCTATTATTGTGTCAGAAATGTCTTCACAATAAAAAAGCAATGAAAAGTTAAAGCTGCGGTGTGTAACTTTTGTCTCCCCCGTATGGCAGGAAGAGTCATCACACAAACACCACAGATGGGTGCTCATGACGTCCGCTTCGCTGTCCATCACTTGGTCTGTTATACTTGATCTGCCTGCTGAGTTTATTTTATCTGGATCATCATAAACCTTTCTTGGATGCTTCCGAAGCTTCTCCTTTCCATCTTGCTCCTCGTTGCTGTAGCCAAGTCCATCTCCGTTGCTACAGTTGTTCTCCTTTAAAGCTCTAGCGAGGGAGCCATTGCTGGCTGATGTCAAAGGTATCACAACTGCTGTGCCAGCATGGGAATGTCACCAGAGAAACCAGCTCTAAAACTAAATGCAGAGAGATTTAAAAGGCACTGGCAGGCTTAATCTGCATTGTGTGAACTCCTGTGGCTTCAGTATAACAGACGTTCATTTCTATGTAAAAACACTGCACTCCATCTTTAAACTTTCACCTTTTATTAAGGACTCAACAGGTGCAATTTTTGGCTTTATTACTGGTGAAAGAAGCAACCTCCTGATGCTTTATAGGCCAGTTTGAAGAGTAACTTTTAGGCTGCCAAGTTGTGAAAAAACTCTCCTGCTGGTCATCAATAGCCTAGTTATTATGTCTAATAAGTCAAACATATGTCCTGCTGGAGGAGGATAAACAGAACTCAGAAACCTGGCATCTGAAAAGAGCCTCAAAATGGCTCAAATAACTCATCAGTAAAATATTAACAATTATTGCAGCTTTAGAAAGGAGGACTTTGGTATGAGAAGGCTGTACGTCACAGAGCAGAAAGTGAAACGAGTTTACTTTAACCAGCGTGAGAAGATTATTCCACCTCTGGAGGACGGCCGGTGAAGTCGCACACACACAGAGACAAGTC